ATGATCTACCTGTCTCTACCTATCTACTCATGTACTGATAATTAGTACAGAGGAAAAGATAATTTCTGACACAAACTAGCTCTGAAGTAGCAGGATATTGAGGAATTATCTGTGGTAGTAACAAAATTTGTGACTTGAGAATTGTAAGGCACAAATATGTAAATTTCCTCTGAAAATTTCTCTCCAACCCAGGTACACATTGTAAAATCATCTGATTATCCACAGTTGGTATGATTTAATCTTTCTTCATCTATTTCATTGCTATGTTTGAGAATATCTGGGGTCTTAAATTGTAATAGATACTTTGAACTTTGTATCTTAAAATGTCCATATTGTCAAAAATAATAAAAATATGAAAAGGGTCATAAAATGTTCATGTCATGCAGGGGAGGTTATTATAACAGTTATTTCATGATCATTAGATTTTGAAATCATCTTTATCTTTAAAGCAGTAAAAGCTCCGTAAATATTGTTTCTCTCATTGTAAAAAGCTATGTGCATGTAAGTCTTCACTGATTTTGCAATTTGTCAAATTTAATTTTAAATCAGTATCACCTTGTTTTGTCTCCACCACTTGTATTTAAGTTTAAATCCTCAGTTTAAGTGTCAGTAATCATTGGTATGTACTGTAAAATATCTCTAAAGGGAATGTGGGCTGTGAACAGTTGATACAAGTTTCCAGTCATAGGTATTTTGTTATTAAATTTTCACAGGATGTTAATGTTGAAAATAGAAGTGGTTGCAGATCAACTTCATGTATTCCAACTTCATTTTCTACTTAATGAGATGATACAGAAATTAATTCTCTCGTAAAGCTGGGGGAAATTATGTTTTTTATTCAGTCAGTAATTAGATAACAGTTTCTTACTCAACCTACCACTCCTAGGCATTAAAAGGAAAGTTGGAAGTTTCCTGCCTTGGTAGACTTGATCTGATAGCACTGGAAAGAAGAGCTTATTGAAATTCTCAGTGAAAAGCAACAGATGATTTTTTTTCCTAGTCTGTTTCTTAACTTCCTTAAGCAAGCCTAGCAAATGTTTATTTTAATTTTCACTAGGTGTTATAATTTTAGGCACATCAACAGAACACTATTATTTGTATAGCTTAGGTGAGGGCTGTTTTTTACTTACTAAAACTTTGTAATGAAAGGACAGTATGGTTTCTCTTTAATAATGAAGTAAACGTGATGAATTATTTAGCATCTACCCTACCTTGGATTTATGAATACTGATTTTGTATGTGGATTATTCTTTTGCACAACAGCAAAATCATTTATTTATTTGACAATTCTTTTGACAAGTTTAAATTCTTGTTAAAATCATAATACTAATTCCATAAAATGGAAGCACTCAACTATGGAGAACATAGGAGAATGAAGTGATGAGTTTGCAAATTCCCAGCTAATTTTAGTAAATTCAACTTCAGATTTTGCCAACTTTTCTTTAAAAAAAATTTAACAAAATCATTCAGTGGATTGGCTTCTAGACTATTCAATTTCTGATGTGTTTATATATTAACATTTTATATTAGGATCAAAAATTCACAAAAGTATGTTTATCCTTAATCCTTAAAGATTCAAATGTATATAGAACAATTATTTAATGTTTGTCATTGGATTTAAGAAATATTTAGGATCACAAATACACACATTCAAATATACCAACACATGTTTAGGTAATTCAACTAACTGAAATGTGTCAATATCAGATTTAACACAGATTGAAAAAAAATCTTTATATTGCAATAAGTTAGTAAGTTAATAGCATAACTGAAAAACTGCTACAGAATAGTCCATTTTAAAAATCCATTTTGTGTTTAGATATTCAGGAAATAGTCAGAATGTTGGTATTTGGACACATGTCATCTCTTATTCAGAGGTTAGCAAAAACAATACATAGTCATGAAAACTAAAATTATAATATTTACATTAGAGACAAGTTTTAAAATGTTACTCTAATAGGATTCCTAACATTTTTATATACTTTGCAGTTATTTTGTTTAAAAGGTCAGATGAAAACTAGTCTGAAATAAAATAAAAGTAAAAATCCTAAACATTAAATATCTTCTTTTCAATATTGCTTTCACAGAATAAATTAATTTGCAAAACCTAGTTGTTATAGGAGCTGAAAAGATAAATTCCACATATTCCTGAATCATTATAAGTTGCAAATTACTGGGACTGGAATTTATAAAGAAACATTTTATTTTTTACTTTAAAAGGTTGTGTTTCAACATCACTTAGAGTTGGCAGAAATCAGATGGAGCATTTGTATTTCCTGGGGTAGCATTCAACGTTTATTGCACTGAGAATCCTATGGCGGGTATCGGTCACAATCACGTCTACAGCACACACCTTAGAAAAACTGGTGGGAAGTATGTAAGCGTGCCTGTGGTATTGGTATCTTTAAATCTATCCTTATTTTATCTTAAAAAAATTGCAAACATTGCTATTTAACCATCACTGGCAAATAATCTCATTTGCAACCTACCTCGTAATTCTTGGCCACACGCAATTTGCTGAGAGACACAAACCTATATTAATGAGAAAAATATAAGCTTAGCAGTTTTATTTTAGCTCCAAGCACAGGTTTAATTCACTTTTCACACTCACTCTTGCAGGTCTTTGAAAGCAGAGTACCGAGGCTGAGACTGCAGCTGTGGGGTCAGACTGTATGGCGGAACGCTTGTTGAGCTGCTGTATAAACGGGGAGAGAACATTTTATAGATTATCTGCAAGTGCAATTTTTCAAAAACTGCTAGGTTGAAACAGTCATGGAAGCTGCTGGTTAAATGCAGACTTGTGAACCAAAACAGACCCATTGAGTTGCAAACCCTAGTGCAGAGACCTGGCAATCGGAATTTCCCTTACCCAGCCTGGGCGATCAGGTGATCTCACTTGGCAGAGCGGCTAATCTCACTCGAAGCCTTCATTCACTCATTTTTACTGAGGGTAGAGTAGATAGGCTTACATTCTAGTGGGCTCTGGAGATGCAGAGATAACAGAAGTCCTGTTTCCTTGGTAAGTTAGAGTGTGTAGTACTCTGTGTTGCCATAGAATCGCAAAGGTTATAGGTTTTAAAGGTTACCTTTAAAAGCGGTTGCCTTTGGGTTACTGGGTGGCTCAGTTGGTTAAGGGTCTGCCTTCGGCTCAGGTCATGGTCCCAGGGTCCTAGGATCGAGTCCCACATTGGGCTCCCTGCTCTGCGGGGGAGCCTGCTTCTCCCTCAGCCTCTGTCTCTCATGAATAAATAAAATCTTAAAAAAAATAAAAAATAAATAAAAGCTGTTGCCTTTGATGATGGGGTAGATGCCCTTCTTTAGTTCAGGCTGGTGTCGCAGAATACTGCATGCCTTATATAAGCAAAAAAACATTTATTTCTCATAGTTCTAAAGGCTGGGACATCCAAGATCCTCGTGCTGGCAGAATCATTGTCTGGTGAGGGCCTCCTTCTGGGTTCCCGGATGGTCATCTCCCTGTGTCCTCACGTAGCAGAAGGGGCCAAGGAACTCTCCAGAGTCTCTTTTATAGAGGCACTAATCCCATTCACGAGGGCTTCACCCTCATGACCTAGTCACCTCCCGAAAGCCTCACTCCCAAGTGCCATCATGTTGGAGATTAGATTTCAAGCATATTAATTTTAGGGGGGAAACAAATATTCAGTCTGGAGCAAGCACCTTGATATATCACACTAAAGCTTGAAACTCAACATTGAATGGTCTCCGAACAGAATCAGAGTACACGATACTGTATTTTATCTGTCTGTGCTTTTCCTAAAGGTGTTTGGTTTGGTTTGGTTTGTTGTTGCTGTTTATTTGTTTTTAGGACACTATGGCATATGCATGCACTACTAATAAAGTAGACACAGTTCCACTTTATTAGTAGCTCTCCCTGCACTTCTGCCTTTTATTATTTCATTTCATTCTACTGTCGTTCCATCTCCTTTTATAATATATTCAGTGGTCTGATTACTGAATTACTGTGTGGTCTTTTACAACCTAATTAAAAATAGCTATGAGATCGGGGTTATGGGAGATAATTTTATTGATGTATTTTATAATTAATTATGTATTGATAACAGTCCAGCATCATTATTTATTATAATTAGGCTAATTATAAAATGTAATTACTAGAATATCCAAGGTGTTCAACTGCTGCCTAAAGCTATCATTTTGAAATATAACTTTTGCCAGCCAATTACTACAGCCTTCCTTAATTTGTGGATAAATCATGCTCTGTTATTTCTACGGAGAAATTGATTTGGGAGCATCAGTTCCCTAAGTGAGAAAATAAAATGTCCACAGTAAAGTGTTTGGGTGATAAGGTGATAAGAACAACAGAACATGGTTCAGAAGATGGTCACACAATTACTGTCATCGACTAATACAACTCACGACTTTCCTAGTACTTAGCGGGGTTTGCCAGTCAAGGCATTGTTTAACCATGAAATATTTTACTTTCTTTTTAATTTGAACATGCTAGGGGGTCTGAGGATTATCAGCTTTCCCTGTGGGTGTATAGCTTCTCTTTGCAGTAACTAGTGTATAATCTACTAGCTTTCATTCTGGAAAAAAAAAGACATTGAAAAACTGTAAAAATACAGTAGGTGTTGAATCAAGCATCTAATGCCAGTCTTTTATCAACAGTGAACTCACAGTTGGAAATTGTCTTCTCAGTGACACTTTTCTTCTGTCATTGGTGGTTTGTGGCTGACTGTGCAACAGAATAAGCAGCGAATTATGAAATCATAACTTTTTTATTTCTATACTTTCTAAAGATGTTTGACTCTAGGAAATACATCTTAGAAAACTAAATGCCCGCCCTCTGTTGACCAGCCATTATCCTTGGAAAGCTATAGTGGGGTTAGTAGGCTGAGCATTCCCATTTGGATCCTTAGGTTGCACAGGATGCATTAAGCTCATTTACTGTCTGGAGCAGACAGATGCCCAGTTTTAACATGAATACTAAGCCTTTTCGTGTTTTACCTCTGCTTTCGTTACAGAAGCCCTTGAAACTCTCATCAGACAAGCAGAGAATTACACCAGCATTCTGTTCTGCAACACCTACAGGAACATGGCCCTAGAGGCTGCAGCCTCAGTTCAGGAGTTGTTCACTCATGTGGGGCTCTATTTATTTGGTGCGGATATTAATCCTGAAGAGTTCATAAACAGATTCTTTGACAGTCTTTTCCCTCTCGTTTACAATCACCTCATTAATCCTGGCATGACAGACAGTTCCCTGGAATACTCAGAATGCATCCGGACGGCCCGCCGGGATGTTAGTCCATTTGGTAATATTCCCAAAAGAGTAATGGGGCAGATGGGGCGATCACTGCTGCCTAGCCGCACATTTCTGCAGGCGCTGAATCTGGGCATCGAAGTCATCAACACCACAGACCATCTGCACGTCTCCAAAGAGTGCAGCAGAGCCCTCCTGAGGATGCAGTACTGCCCTCTCTGCCAGGGCCTGACTCTCAGTAAGCCTTGCATGGGGTACTGCCTCAACGTCGTGAGAGGCTGCCTGGCACACACGGTGGAGCTGAATCCGCACTGGCATGCCTACATCCGGTCCTTGGAGGAACTATCGGACGCCATGCACGGAACATACGACATTGAACATGTGCTCCTGAACTTCCACGTGCTTGTTAACGACGCTGTGATGCAGGCTCACCTCAATGGACAGAAGTTATCGGAACAGGTAGGCGGCCCCGCCACATCTCCTGACCGAGGGCTTAGAGCTCAGGCATTAGGTGTATACATAAAATCCCAATGATTATAAGCGCATCATTATGTACTTGAAAATGATGGCAGCTTAACAAGTTAATACCTCAGGAAAGAGTAGGAGAATGCATGGGATGCCATGTTTGAGTCAAGATATATTTTCTGTATCTTACAGTAGATGTTTCATTAGCTACTTTGCACTTTCTCCTCTAAGTAGAAGCCTTCTCATAGGGTTAGTTGAGTGAGGGAGAGAGGACTCAGGTTGAAAGTCGGGACCAGCATGGATCTGAATTTGCCGTCTGTCAGGAATTCCCAGATGCCTTTGATTCTTTGAGGCTGTCTCCTCAATGATAAAAAGAGAATAGTAACACGTAACTTTTGGAGTATTCTTTTTTGGGAAGATAGACAATATGTATGCAAACTAACTAGTATGGTGTCTGTTACTCAAAAAATGGGTAGTTATTGTTAGCATTTTAGAGGTGTTCAGCATTAAAATAGAAAATGCCAATGATATATTCATTAAATGAAGACTTGACAGCTTAATGTTCAAAAGTGTTTCTTTAGAGACTCTTCAGAATCTGTCACATTGATGGTGTAATGATTTTTCAAAATGTGCTGTATGCAACATCATGGTGTTTTATTCCAAGAAAACTTTAGAAAGTGTTTGAAACAAAATCATCAAGTAAAAGGGCATAGGAGTGTTCTGTTTCTCCCACCTTCTGTAGAGTCATTTTCTTATATAGTCACAGGCTCCTGAGTAACAGTCTCATACCCCATATAGTGAAGTAGGACCTGTTGCTGATGTTTAGCCTAAATCATTTCTCCTGAAACAAAATTATATTCCTTGGCGCTGAGAGAAGCCATCTCCCTGCCCCCCCAGTCCTAATTTACTGAATTAATAAATATCCTAATCATTAGCCTTATAGGTCATACTTTAATTTCTGGTAGATATTGGATCTGAAAATATTTATGTGCAGTCATCTCTTCACCTTTCTTCTCAACTTCCAGGGTCTTTGCAAGCATATAAGGTGCCCTTATGCAGATTAGACATGGTGCCCTCTTTAGGTGCATGCCACACCCTTATATGGCTTGGTGGGTAGAGTGAGCTGTATTTCAACTCCTGCTTCCCAATTTATTCAGCTGGGTGTGCTTGGACAGAGAACAAGATTCCCAACAATATGCAATGGTCTGAATCTTTCTGCAATCTCATTTCTTTCTGGAGATCAGATTAGCACCAGAGCTTTTGGGAAGGATATAATAAACCAGCTCAAATGAGGTATAAAAGACGTTTAAGGTTTCAAGTATTTCTTAGTTATGAGAAATAAGATCCAGGAAACAAATATGATTATTATGATGTCAAGTATTTGTAGAAGGGAAGGCAGGCTCAAGAGCTCTGAAATCAAGTTCAGATTTGATTATTAATTTGGGACATGCTATGTAACCACGAAGGGTCAGAGTTTTCTAATATACATAAGTAAATAAGTTTTAATGCCTTTTATTATGTATTTTTGAGACCTGGAGGGCCTGTTTGTATCCTTAAAATCTGTCACATAGAAAATTATGTTTTTCCTATTTCAAACACTAAACTGACACAGGTTCGTACTTAGATAAACATGTTTTCAAGTCCTGAGTTGGCTAGTCCTTTGTCATATGGCCTGGGACAGCTACTAACACCTACTAACAAAGGATTCTGTTTGGGCTTGTGTGGAGAAGGTAGAAATGGTTCAGGTGGGGTAATGTTGGTAAGGCTCTGACATTGGTAGACACTGGTCCTGGAAATGTTTGCTTTTTTCTTTCCCTATTCCAAGGCCAGCCCTGAGCAAACCTCAGGGAAGCAGGTTACTTTAGTATCTTAAAGGATTAGAATCATCATTGTACTTGTGTTTTATAAATAAGTTTTATTTTTATTTTTTAAATGATTTTATTTATTTTAGAGAGAGAGAGAGAGAGAGCATGGGCGAGTGGAGGGAGGGGCAGAGGGAGAGGGAGAGGGAGAATCTCAAGCAGACTCCCTGCTGAGTGTGGAGCCCGACCTGGGATTTGATCTCACAATCCTGAGATCATGACTTGAGACCAAACCAAGAGTTGGATGCTTAACCAACTGAGTCACCCAGGTGCCACTATAAGTAAGATTTAAATAGGACTTCTGTCATATGAAACTCTGTGGTGGATTTATAAAGAACATTCTTTTCTTTTAGGCAAATCGTTTGATTTGATATAATCAATAGTCCTATGACTATCTTGAGAAATATTCATCATTACTAATAAGTTGTAGATTCTTTTCTAAATAGAACAACTGAGATTCTCTTTTAAACTTACGACAATAGAAGAAGGAGATACTGACTTTAAATTCCTTGAAAATTGACTCATTAATATTTATTTCTGCCAACTTCAAAGTGATTTATAAGCTATTTATCAAGCTTCAATAACCAGTTCACACATCAATGAATTTAACAAATTCAAAATAAATTACTGGAGAGCCAGAAAATAATGACTTTCTCACATTCCCAAAGCAATCTGTGAGATCTAGGACTTCCAAGTCTAGTCCTCAGTAAATACATATTTTCACTTTAAGAAATCCATAGAGGTATCTGCTGTATCATGTTTCCGTTGGATGAATTTCAACTGGAAAGAAAAATGTTCTGTTTCCTGAGAATATCGTTAAGTATCTTCTATTTAATAAGCCATTAGAGAAACAGAACCTAATTGACAATAGAGTATTTTCATTTTATAATTATTCTGGGGCTTAAGGCAATACTTAATTTAATAAAACATTAACAGCAAAGTGTAGATATTAAAAGCACTGGCTCTGCTGTCCGACTGGATTTCACATCTGCTCTACCACTTACTAGCTGTGAGTTGGTGCATTTGATTATTCATCTCTCTCTGCTTTAGTTTCCTCTTTGGTGAAACAGGGCAATAATACCTACATCATGGAGTTCTTGTTAGAATAAAATGAGCTTTCACACGTAGATGAGTGTCTTGTACATGGTGAATGTTTGAATCCTACTAATTATCATCACGTTGTATCATTTATGGGTACTTTGTTGGTTTCTCTGATGTTGTAAATGCTCCTAAAGCAAACATACCTTTCCTGCTGTGGTGTAGAGTTAAGAATTTTTTTTAATGGTCATTTAATGTAAACAAATAATTGTAAAGATTTTCCTTGAATGAGAAAAAAGCCTTGGAATTTTCAGAAAACATTATGCAACTCCATAATGTGTTTTAATATTAATGGCTATTAATAATTAGCAGATATAGGAAATCATTTAATGATTGAATGATTTGTTAGGGAATCTATTTATTTTGTAAATAAAGTTAATTTTTTTTGCTATTCATTATATTTAACATATTTTTAACATAATTTAATACTTTAACTTATTCAAAGAACCTAGGACCTGTGTTAATTTCAGTGTTTCAGCATCTTCTAAATGGAACAGATATTACTAAGAAACTCAGCTGAACATTGATTCTGTACAATTTTAGAAACAAAATTTTTTTCAGCTTTATTTGCATAGAATTGACAAAAAAATTTTATTCAAATATCTGGTAGAATTCACCAGTGAAATTTGGTCCTGGGCTTTTCTTTGTTGAGAGGTGGGTTTTGTTGTTGTTGTTGTTGTTGTTGTTGTTTTACTGATTCAATCTCCTTACTCATTATTTGTCTGTTCAGATTTTCTATTTTTTTCATGATTTAGTTTTGGTAGGTTCTATGTTTCCAGGAATTTAACCATTTATTCTAGGTTATCCAGTGTGCTGGCATAAAGTTGTTCTTAGCAGTCTCTGTGATTCTTTATATTTCTGTGATGTCAGTTGTAGTGTCTCTTTTTTCACTTATAATTTTATTGAGTTTTCTCTATTTTTTTCTCAGTCTATTTTTTATCCTTTCAAAAACCAGCTCTCCATTTCATTGATATTTTCTATTGTTCATCTAGTTTCCATTTCATTTATTTCTGCTTTGATCTTTGCTATGTCTTTTCTTCTGGTAACTTTGGGCTTAGTTTGTTCTTTTCCCCCCCCTAGGTAAATGTAAAGTTAGGTTGTTAATTTGTGATTTTTTTCCCCTTCCTGTAGGTGTTCATCACTATAAACTTCCCAGCCAGCCCTGCTTTTGCTGGATCTCATAAATTTTGGTATGCTCTGTTTTCATAGCTGGGAGTTGGGGTTGCTCTCCGGATTGAACGGTGCTTTGCTGAGGGTGGGATTTATGGCAAGTGTGTATCTCAGTCCTTCCTGCCCATTGCAGGTAGGGGTTTTCTCATCCCCCCAGGGTGTTCAGCTCGTTTGTAGATTTCTTTCAGAGGAAATTTCTCTATGGGTAGTTGTATGTTTCGTCCATTTGCTGCATCTGTGGGTGGAGAGAAATGCAGGAGCCTCCTCTGTTACTATCTTGGGAATTACTACCACAAAAAAATTTTTTTTAAGTCTGTAATGGGTTTAGAAACATAATTTCCAACAGTAAAAGTCCTAATTTGTATTTTTAAATAGATAATCAGTTTTTCATATCTCTTTCCTATGTACTATTAGTAGAGATTCAGCTGGTTGCATTCAAATTACTTTAGAATAGCTATTCACTTCAATTTTAATACCTATCAAAATTGAGTTTAAGGTGAATTGTACACACTAGTGCACTCTAATTAAACTCTGTTGTTGAGGAAACTATACCTCATCACTTCCTCTCTACATATTCACATTTATCTACATCTCAAAATGAAACCATAATAAATTAATCATGAGTTTTTAAGTATCTTGATGATATTCTTCTATATAAATTGAAAAGGAAAATTAAAGTAGTAGCTGGGATTACTTCTGGTAAGGCACTAATTTGGTTCTATTTTTTAATGTGGTATACAGTTGCTTAAAAATCACTGTGTTATACGATTTTGTATAATAAGGATTGTAAGACAAATAAGGTTGAGGCAACACATTACTCTCTGAAGGGTGCATCTTTGAAATGGTTTCCAGTGGGAATGGTGA